ATATAGTCATAAGCTAAGCTAAGCAAAGCACAGGGACCTAGGTTCAATCCCCCAGCACCACATGCCAGCCAGCCCCGCCCCCTGGTGGGCTGAGCTGGCCACACACACAAAATAAATAAATAAATAAATAAATAAATAATTTTTTTTAAAAATTAAAAAAAAAGAATATATAGTCATTTGTTTGTATGATTGTTGTAGAAGACTAGAACTTGACTCGTTGCATATTGCTTATTACTTTGGATTTTTGATGGAGAAACTTCACTGAAATATACAAGCAGCTTCTCATAGGAGATAAATATGGCAATAAAGAACTCTGCGTTAGTTTGGTATTCTGGTACTGGCGTTTATACAGGTAAGATAACACAGATAGCACATATAAGGTTTTTGTTAAGTGCAAAATGCCCCACAGATTGTATTTCATTATATCTACCCTGCCTGACCCTTTCAAAAATGATTGAAATAATTGCAGTGATGAGCATTTAAATCAAAAAATAGAACGCTGAGATGATATGTAAGTAGATAATAGCATGTAACAGATTTGACTGAATTCCCTATGTCAGTAGCAAAAACAAAACAAAAAGCCAGACATGGTAAAGCATACCGGTAATCTCAGCTTTTGGGGAAGGTAAGGCAGGAAGATCACAGGTTTGAAGCCAGTCTAGGCAACCTAACAAGACCCCATCCCAAAATTTAAAAAGGGGCTTTAGATGTAGCTTATGGGTAGAATACTCCTGGATTCTGAGCCCCGTGCTGCCCTGTTACTTTTGAAAACATGAAAGAATCTATTCCTCCAGACATAGTGTTCTTCTAGACATTAGAGTTGCAAAACAGTTTTCCACACTAAATTGAGTCTAGTCATACATAGGAATATATATGCTGTTAGAAGTTATTTTATTAAAAAATTACATTGAAGTTTTTTATGTTAGGTTACATTGCTTTTTTTAGTGAACACTATTGTTAGAGGAAGTAGAAATTTTGATCCTTAATAATATTTAACCTGCAGAGTAGCCCTTAAGTTACCAGTCTAATAAAATCTGAGCTTTAAAGCATTGTTAAGGATTCCCCACCTTCCAAAACACGAAGTTCTGAGGACTGTTACACATATGCACCTGGTGACAATCAGATGCCTTTTCAGTTTACACTGGTATTTGATACACTTAGTACCCTAGCCTGCTTTGCGATACTTCGATGCTTTAAAGGCGCCCAGCTCTGCTTGTGTGGCCAGCTGTGCTGGGAGGTCTTTGCTCTGGCTCAGTTCCATAGCATTGGAGCCTATCCTGGTTTCCTGCTTTCCTGGTCGTCATTTCATAACACCACACCAGGGCTGCCCAGCTTTGCTGCTTCTAGAAGCGCTTCCTCTCCCGTGCACGGTAATACTGATCTCCTTTTCTCCTTCCTGGTGCTGTCCCTAAAGCCACATGCCTTTTAACTCTCCCCTGCATCATGAATGTATATACATATTCAAGCATTAGGAAGGATTTTTTAAATTTCAAGATAGAAAAAAGAAAAACAATGAAGTTTTTCTTAAAATATTTCAGTCGTTTGAATGCATAGTAACTTTTTAAATGTTTTGAATTTTCAGTTTTTTTAATGGAATCCTTTCTGCTTCTGAAAATAAGGACATTTTGTGCATGTTTGCATATGAATTTCAAACTATGAACATAAATATATGTGTACCTCAGGAGGCTGAATTGCTAAGTAGTTGTCAATGAGTAGGTCATTTAAATGTCAGGAAGTCTTCACTCTGTAATCTGTTTCCCCACACTTTACTAAGATCTGTCTTCGAATTAGCATTTTATGCATTATTCTGGGCATAACTAATAAGATAACATATGATTAACTTTTTCTGATACTTGTCAGGACTTCTGAAGACCCAACAAGGTCAGAGATTCATTCTGGGTACCCACAGGTCTCAGCATGTGGTCCTACTCTGGGCTGTGATTTAGGGCAAGGAAAAGATACAAAGCCCAATCAGCAAAGGGAAAAGGCACACAGAATGAAGTCCAGAGGAAGCAAGATTCAAGCTTCCGTGAGTCCTTTCCCAGATAGACTCACAGTTGGACTTGATTCCTTCAACAACGAATTGTGACAACATGTGTGAAATGTAATCTACCAAAGCTCATTAGATACTGCACGTCCAAGGTTTTTGGTTTGTTTGTGTTTTTTTCCCCCGAACTGGGGATTGAACTCAGGCCCTTGCACTTGCCAGGCAAGCGCTTATTCTACTGAGCTATCTCCCTGGCCCCCCATCCAAGATTTTTATTGTATGCTGGTCATATAGGAACCCTCCCCTAACATGTGCCTAATTCTGAAAAGGAGAGGGGGCACGCAGCAGTATTCCATTGTTCAAATGAACAGTTCAAGTGCAGTGAGTCACTTTTATTAGGTTGGTGGAAACATTCCTAAAATCCAGGTTTCTAGATGTCAGTGGACAATCCTGCAAATTAATAAATTTTAGGGGGTTTTTGTGTGTGCAGGGTCTCATTACACAGCCCAGACTCATAGTGATCTCCTGATTTCTGCCTCCCTAGTGCTGGGATTACAGGCACGTGCCACCACACCTGGACTCCATTGAGGGCGCAGCGCGTTTGGGGGTGGGGCCAGCTTGGCATGCGGAGCCAGGGATTGAACCCTGGCCCCTGCACTTA